TGACGGTACTTACTTCAGCTAGGTTCTCTTAGAAAGGCTAAAGCTTGGCTATTCATTCGACACTGCCAGGACAATTTTTCGGTTTGGTTCACAAACTACATCACATGTTTGCACCGCGGATGTCCAAAACACATTTCTGAGGGAGTTTTTCTGTAATGGAGATGAAACGTTAGCATTACTTAGCGTAGGATTATCCGCCGGGATTCGTACCCGGATCTCTTGCTTTCCGGGCAATTGTGCTACCAGTTAAAAAACAAGTCAAAATGGTAACATCTGATACATATTGTTTTCATTTCAGAACTCAATGGTCTTTATTTAACATGAACTTCAAACGAGTTTTGTTTAAAGATTCGATTCGGATGTCTTATACGATGTGTTAAAACTAAAGTTGAATGAATATGCTTTGATCTTCACATATGTTTCATCACACCAATTGAACTTCATAAAACAAATTATGAAAGCTTCTGAAACACGGCGCCAATGTGTCATGTCAGGAGGAAACCAGAAATCCTACAAGAAATGTGATTCTCTTTGAAGAATCACATCTTGAAAGTCTCCAGGGATGATCTTTGTCAATGAAGGGCATGATAATACTCGATCGACATTCAAAGGAATCATCCATGGAAAAAATCGTGATTCTATCTCAAAACTCACTGGCTTGAGACCCATCATATACGATAGAAACAAAACGAACGAAAAATGTTGTTTGTCTTCATAAACAATTCGGAAACGTGTCACAAATGTTGGCGAAAAAAAACAATCTCACTTGGATATGACGATGAGAGTGTCTTCGCTAGGAACTCTTTTCGTTCTTTTCCTTTTTGGAATAACGTTTCTCTTTTTACTGCATCCTATTCTATCATCATTTTATCTTATTTGTCCAAATTCGAACGCTTTAACCCGATTCTTCCAATGCGTTGTCTGATACATGGCCGCTCTGAAGCGCATTTCTTTCCACGTATCCCTTGTCTCCGCCCGACCTACCCTCGACCGTCCATAGAATGTGATTATGCGTTTGTTTCTCTTGGGAAACTGAAGTTTCTTGCGCGAAACTCGGTACCTTGTCTCTGGTAATCACAGCTGATACATGTTGCAAGAATTCTTCGAGGACGATTCCTTTGAAGCCAAAGCCAGGACAAAAATAAGTTGATAGCGCAGCTCGGCAGGCGCCGATGTAAGCTGCAACCTTGCCGATCACAGCCACAGCAGCTTCAGTTTCGTTACATAGTGACCACCCCTGTCGCTGCAGCACAGTCTGCAAGTTCTTTCAAATCCTCACAACCCTCAGGTCCTATTCTCGTCACAAGAAACAAAAACTGTAATCAACAGTGCGCTATCAAAATAAAAGTTCAAAGGGATATAGCCGCCAGCATTGATCGCTCTATTTTGGAATGCGCCACGCGCTTCTCGTATTCCCGTTCAAAATCCGCCAAGAGCAAGGCTCACGTTCCACGTTGACATAACAGTGTCGACGGTGTATGTCAGCGTTTTTTTCACGCAAAAGGACGTGTCATCCATCACAGATACTGCAAGAGGTCTCGGGCCATGATGCTGGCGTTGAGCATGTTTTGATACCTTTGTAGAACCTCTTAATTTTCTCCAATTCCATTGCTTGACAACTGGGAAATTCAATGCTTGATTTTTGACTGTGTTTTATTCTTGGAGTGCTTTGAGAATGAAGCGACGGTGGAAGGCAAGAAAAAAGGGCGTTTTCTGCTTCACTAAACTAATTAAACTACGTCGCTGCCGACGAGATTCTTCTGAGTGGAGAGGGAAGACTTAACATCGGCATGCAAAGGTCTGTTCAGACACAGCTCAAGCGTTTACATGAGGCGGGGGGATGGGAGAGAGGAGCAAAAGTCACTTTCACCCATTTTGGTGCAAATCACTCACTGTTGTTCATGCGCACAGTATATGCGTTATTGTTGTGGATGTATTTACAGCAGAATACCGTAAGTGGTCCGTCCTAAGCAGAAGCAGGCCTACCTCAGTGCCCAGCATTGCAGAATATGACGTATCTATCTCATGCCGTCACCGTCGGGGAGCTCAGGAGGGCTCGCTTACCGTAATCGCTTCCAAATGAACTATGCGTTAATTTCTTAGATTAACTGGTGAATAGCTTCTGAAAAGTACTAGCTGTGACTGTGCAAAACCGTTTTTGACTAGCGTTTCAGGGAGTGGTAATGGTCTATGGTACCTCGACGACCTTGTTGAGCTCGTACCGTAAACCATGTTCCCATGGGAAAATCTTATGTCTTAAGTGGTAAAGGTGCTTGGCGTATGACATTTTTTGCATAGATTTAGAATGTGCCTGTCAATACGTGCAGTCGGAGCTCTTTTGGTTTGGGGCTCGGCAGTTGTGTAAGTTCATTCGACCTTGAAGATGGCGGGAAGTGACTCGGTTGGGTCTTTTGCAAGCCTCCCCGCCCCTGTTACATGTTTGAGGACTTCGTCGGAAGGATTTGCCAGGGCATGGTCTGACACGGTTTCGAGCTCAGACGAACTTTTCAACGTTATTTTTTGGCAGGGGACAGGCCAGAGCTGCACTTTTAGAAATCTGACCTCTAGCTAGTCGAATGAAGAAATCAGGTAGCAACTTTAGGCTGACTGAGGCAATTACTGTAGACTAGCTTAAAGGCAAATTCCGGGATAAAACGAGGGACTCACCTGTTCGAGTATGAAGTGTTGGGTGCTAAGTTGATCGAAGGTAATGAAAAAAGCAGGAAATACCTCCAAGAACTCCAAAATTAGAAATTCCTCTTCGTTAGTCGCTTACGAACCAGGGCTGGGAAAATTACGCGTTTGGACATGTCTACAGCAACTGTTGGCTTTGTGCCATCAACCGACACGGCCAACAATGAAAACTGATTTTCTTCTAGTTTCCCTATTATTCGTAGGTCTGTGGGGTTTTGGGTTCGTTTTCTTACCTATCTTTAAATTTTTTCTTCTCACTAGGATCATACCAGCGTTCTCGAAAATGGTCGTAACATAGGCTTTGATATTGATTCTCGCAGTTGAAATCCGCTAAGTATTCCCCTACGACTTTCCAAACAACGGCTCAGCATCTAGCGTCCTAGGTGGTTGCTTGGAAGATCACGTAGGACGGTGGGCGGGCTCAATGGGGTTGGGGCGGCGCCAATGCTCCTACCTAGGTTCCTAGCGCCTAAACCTTATCAAAACGCCCGCCACTTCTGCACATGGTCTGTCCCTGCGTACTGCTGCATATCTGATGGGGAAAACCCAGAGTTCGCCAGAAATCCCGGAATTTGCCTTTAAAGGAATCTTCACGGACCATGGACCAGTGGGCGGGACCGGAAGTGGTTTTGCGACGAAATGCATGGTAGGTACGGATCCACGTTCATGGGAAGGTTTGAAGTGAATCCTGTTCACGTTCGTGCGTTCGACACGTGGATCCGTACCTACCATGCATTTCGTCACAAAAACTTCCGGTCCCGCCCACTGGTCCATGGTCCGTGGAAGATTCCTTTAAGCTAGACACCATCTTAAACTGCTGAAGAATATAAGGGTTGACATGGCTGAGATATTCATGCACCGAAGACCATATACTGCTGAGACGGGTAAATGACTTCGATGGCACCTCCTATCACTTTCTAGTCCCATGTGACGGTACTTACTTCAGCTAGGTTCTCTTAGAAAGGCCTAAAGCTTGGCTATTCATTCGACACTGCCAACTTGAAAAAAAATAAAAAAAAAAAAAAAAAAAAAAAAAAAAAAAAACGCAAGTTTTACTGGTGGTTTGGTTCACAAACTACATCACATGTTTGCACCGCGGATGTCCAAAACACATTTCTGAGGGAGTTTTTCTGTAATGGAGATGAAACGTTAGCATTACTTAGCGTAGGATTATCCACTGTTGCCTGTTAGTGTTGGCTCCATGCAGTTTGCGCGCACAAAAACTTCCGGAAACCGAGTTTTTCAAGTCTTGAGAGGAAGTTTCTGGTACCCCCAGGAGGCCCGTCGCGCGGCAAGAAGGCAGAGTCGGCGGACGAGTTGCAGCGCGTGGTGTGCGATGTAGGACGTGCAGTGGGACACTCTATTTAACTTGACGCGAAATCCCTATAGTGCGCGACTCGTCCGCTGACTTTGCCTTCTTGCCGCGCGACGGGCCTCCTGGGGGGTACCCAAAGTTTCTGAAGCCTTATTTGTTCACAAATATCTTGATCTTAATCAGACATGACTCTGATACATATCATCACAAGAATGCTGTTGTGGGCAAAACTTTCGCCCCAGCCGGGATTCGTACCCGGATCTCTTGCTTTCCGGGCAATGTGCTACCAGTTAAAAAACAAGTCGAAATGGTAACATCTGATACATATTGTTTTCATTTCAGAACTCAATGGTCTTTATTTAACATGAACTTCAAACGAGTTTTGTTTAAAGATTCGATTCGGATGTCTTATACGATGTGTTAAAACTAAAGTTGAATGAATATGCTTTGATCTTCACATATGTTTCATCACACCAATTGAACTTCATAAAACAAATTATGAAAGCTTCTGAAACACGGCGCCATTGTGTCACGTCAGGAGGAACCAGAAATCCTACAAGAAATGTGATTCTCTTCTGAAGAGAACACATCTTGAAAGTCTCCAGGGATGATCTTTGTCAATGAAGGGCATGATAATACTCGATCGACATTCAAAGGAATCATCCATGAAAAAAATCGTGATTCTATCTCAAAACTCGCTGGCTTGAAACCCATCATATACGATAGAAACAAAAGGAAGGAAAAGTGATGTTCGATTCCATAAACAATTCGGGAACGTGTC